AAAGAGTGTTCAGCTATGAGCTCTTTCTTTTTTTAATCCAGGTGACTTCTAAGGAGGAAAAAAAGTAGCGCAGGGGGAGTTAGGAAGGTGCTGAATGCGTTTGGACCCCGGTGCTACTGTGGCTTCCGTCAGGCAGGCTGGAGCGGGAGACTTAGCTGTGAAATACGTAGTATACTCCCTTTTTATCTGTGAGGTTTTAATTTGAGGTTAAACATTAGCCTGACACATTGACTTGCTCTGACTCTTTTTTTTCTAACCTCTCAGCATTTTTAAATAATAAAATGAGAGCAATCAAGAAACCAGGGAGAGCGAAATGAAGGAAAGCTTGGTGTTACGGACCTATGACCCCTCGGGTGAGTTTGTCTTCGGAGGAGCGGTTCCTTCGTATGGTTAAAACCTAAACTTGAACATCAACACTAGGGTTCAGATTTGTCCTTTGACGTTCCAGGGGAATGTGTCCCCTGGTAGACCCTCTGGAAGTTAAGGCAGCCTTAAAGAACTGGAGCCTTCAGTGGTTAAAAGTGACTGTGGTGCTTTTCCCCCCACGCGCCGGAGCCCAGCCTTGTTATGTTTGGGAACCCAAGGCATCTCCAGATGAGCAGAGATGCGGTTTGGGCTTCCCTGTGTTTGAGGATGTCTTTCAGTGAGAAACAAATTTGTCACTGACTGCTACTAACAGCAATTTTGATTACAGGTTATATGGGTTCGTGTGAGAGGTGGCTTAATTTCTTTATCTGTGTACAATTTGGTCAGACCTGCAGGACAAGAAGACCAAAGAGAAGCAGGTTAGACAACAGCAATGCTGTTCTTACCTATGTCTTTGGCACAGTTTGTTGAATTCAGTTAATGAAGTTGTTCTCTTTTTGGTTTGTTTTTTTTTGGTGGGGTTTTTTTGGGGGTTTTTTAATAAATCAGTGAATATTTATTTTAACCCAGTCTACACCATGACAATATACTTTTCCAGGGAAGCAGACAATGATTTTCCATCCTGTAAAATTAACTTATATACAGAGAGGTGGTCACAGTCCTGAGTGAAGGGTGGAGGGCACGTTTTGGAGACTATCCAGAGATACAGTGACCTGGGGTAGCCTTTAATAGCACGCGTCCTTTTCTTCAGCCTTGTTTTGGCTAGGGACGCATCCCCACTTCTTCTTCTTAAGTCATCAGTACGCAGAGATGCTTTTGATGTGTCCGTTGTACCTCCTGAGTGTCCAGACCTAAAGCCTTGCCTGTTCCCATCCACCTGCTCAGGAGAAAGAGGAGAAATGTGTACAGCATCCTTCATTTTTTCGTGCAGAGTCAGAGACAATCCAGGGCAGCCTATGGCTGGAACCGACTTCTGTGCACGTGTGCAGTAGAGATTGTGCAATTGTGGTTGATTTCAGTGAGACCAAGTGTCAAAGGGGTGGTTGAAAGTCCGATTGCTGCTGCAGAATGTGAATTAAATAAGCCACAAAAATACTTCATAAAAGGTAGTGCTTCAGTTATAGCTGAAATACTTCAGTTTAAAAAGTGTGAAGTGCATGGTTGTGAGGTACGATCCAGCCCTCTGTGAAAGCCGGGATATCAATTAAAGCCTCGTTATTTGCCATAGTACTTGTTTGCGTGCTGTGACCTGTGGGGATTGCAATGGGGGGACGGGATGAAAGAGCGATAAACCAGCTTCCATTACTGCGGGTCAGTCATAGTGAGACCGTATTGATAAACTCTCTGTAAATTACCATCCAACTACCTTGCAGTAATTTGTTGATGTACGTGTACCCCCCTCACTGTTCTCTTTTGCACAGAACAAATATCTTAACTTCAATGCTCCTGACTGTGAACCAAGAATTGGACAGTAAGTCTAACTGGAGTGTTTGGATTTTCCACTCGAGACTCTCTGCCTCTGAGGGCCTATTTCCAGCACCATTTTGGCATCTGAAGTAGGTGCTTGAGGTAGCAAAGATAAGGGTGTTTCTAATTAGCAGCAGCCTGGCTTCTCACAGTCCAGCAGGAGAACCTGCAACAGATGCTTTTTCCCGTCAACCTCTGTACTTTTTTGCCCCTTATTTTCGGGAACATAAGTCCTTTAAGAGGGAGGGGCGAGATCAGTATAGTTTGAATGAACGGGTGTGTGTCACTTGCATTTTTCAGTGTGAGTTTAGGAAAAAGGCCTTAATTCAGTGTTATATTCACTTGAGGGTTCTCCTCCAATGCTTGCCAGATTCACTTGCTTTTCCCTAATCTCTGAAAAAAGTGATGCTCTGTGTACCGCACTGTGCCTATTTGCATGCAGTTCCCTGGGAAAACGTAGCAATGTTGAACTGCCTCTTCTCTCCCCGTCGCAGCCACCTTAGCTGCCCAGAATCCTGCATTTCGGGGATACCTTATAGCACCTTCCAGTACCTGAAGGGGCTACAAGGAAGCTGGGGGGGACTTTTTACAAGGGCCTGTAGTGACAGGACAAGGGGTAATGGGTTTAAATTGAAAGTGGGGAGGTTTAGATTGGATATCAGGAAGAAGTTCTTCCCGGAGAGGGTGGGGAAGCACTGGGACAGGTTGCCTAGAGAAGCTGTGGATGCCCCATCCCTGGAAGTGTCCAAGGCCAGGCTGGATGAGGCTTGGAGCAACCTGGTCTAGTGGAAGGTGTCCCTGCCCATGGCAGGGGGTTGGAACTGGATGGTCTTTATGGTCCCTTCCAACCCAAACCTTTCTATGGTTCTATGAATTAGGGGGAGCCATGCTGAAACTTTTCTACAGGTATCTAGGAGCAAACACAAACAACAAAATACGAATTACCCCCACGATAACATGGTGTACTGACATGACTTGCCCTTTGTCACAGAGAATTTGCTCACAAGAAAGAAAACAACTTTATTCCTTACATCTGTAGAGGGAAGGCAGAGAACTGTATCTTGAGCTTCTGCTCTCTGTTTCTCCCTTATGATGAACAAATCCAGGGTTCTGCAGGTAAATTACTTTTCCTGTACAGTAATCCTGCACATAGCGCTGCAGACTTTCAATCTTGAGATACACCAGCTTTCTGAGCAGGAAAAGTTAAGGCACAGTGACATGCAGTGAGTGCTAAAAGGCTTCTTCCCGAGGACACAGCGCTCTCCGAGGGCTGCAGGCACGCAACGCTGAGAGCAAACACCACCCTTTGCCCCGTCCAGGAGATGGTTCAATAGGGAACTGATGAATATTTAAGAATTCATTCCCATATAGTACCAGTCAACTTGTGTCTATTTATTACTGGTAGGAAAACTGGAAACGTTTGTGTAAAATAATAGGGGGGCTGGGGAAGATGCTTTGCTTATATCCCAGAGATCAAGACTATTAATAATGGAGAAACTGAAATGCAAGCTCTCAAAAGCAACATCTGAAGACTTTTTTGTAGGGAGCTTTTTAACGTTCTTTTTTTCAAACACGTATCTAAAATATTGAATTTTTTAAAAATCACATTTACGTATTTTGTGTCTTTCTATCCGAAGTGGTATGTGCAGTGCAATTCACGATCAGGTCAGAGAGTGTCCTCCAGGATGTGCACAATCTGGCGCACGTGTACGAACTGCTACACCAGTTTTTGAGTCTATTTCTCAGTGGTGTTAAGAGTCTTTGGTACAATCATTATATCTATAGCAGCTCAAAAATTTCTGCTTTTCACAATCAAATATTGGTAGCTGCACTTGCGTATTGTGTTGTTCTGGAAGTAGTAATTTTTGCTTCTTACTGTACCTTTTATTTTCTTGGTAAGAGAGCTTTCCTTTTGGAGTAAATTCCAGTTTCAGATGACAGAAGTCATCCCTAAGACCAGGCCAGCATCATCTAGTCTGATGCTCAGACCATGAATATTTTCACTGGCTTCTGCTGAGTTACTCTCGTGATATCTTTGTCATGAGTGTCAGATCCAGGACCTGACCCTTGCTCACAGACTGATCATTAGTATTGAGAAGAGGTAAGACTGAGTTTTGAATTCCTGAAAGGCTTAAAAATTTTATTTCAACCACACTCACTTTGGTGCTTGAGTTTAACATTTGAGTCTGAGATTGGTCCATTACTATAAATGTAATAGTCATAATATCAAATCACACATAAAATTGGACAGCGATTTTTTGGTGCTGAATCAGCTGCTTAGGTCTATGCATATAATATATACCTGCTCTAAAGTGCAAAGTTAAGATTTTCTCATGGTTGCATATCCATAAAGAGCAGCAGCATCTCTTAATAGTAGTATTAAAAAATACATTGCATGTTTTTCTCTAAGTACTTCATTTCTAAAACCTGTTTTCACTGATTTAAACTCCAGCTGTCAGGTAATACCTGTGCAGTACTGAAGTATATTAAAAATATCTTTTCCTCTTGATAATGCAGGTAGCAGAATGAAGCCTGGGTATAAACTGCTTGTTTTGCTATGTAGTAGATGTGGTTTTGCTGCACAATGGTACTGAATTGTTTTTCAGCTTACTTCTCAATATTCTTCAATATAGAGCTGTAAAAAATTCAGAAAAAGGCACCAGAGGATTTAAGTCACATCATTAACTAGGTGTCTGGAAAAAAATAGTAACTAGTCTGTAGAGGAAAAGTAAATTTCTGGAGCACTGAAAATCAAAGGTGTATCATTCAGAAGTCCTTGTTAAACTTACAGGTTATTATCTTTCCTTGGAGGTGGACTTTGTCTGTTCTTAAGAGGCTCCTCTTTAATGATTGCTCTTTCCTCAGAAAGACATGCTCAGTTATCTATACAAAGATCACTGTAGCCCAGTAACGCGGGGAACTGGAGGTATTGCTTGTAGTTTCAACACGGGTTATTCCCCAGGAACACAGAGTCCTCCCCTCTGGATCACTCTTCCCCGGCAGTGCCAGGTCATGTCAGGGCAACCGC